CTCACCTCCAGATCCAGGAAAATGTGATGACACTTCAACTTCAAGACAGCCAGTAGCTTCCTCCTCAGATTCTTCCCAGCTTCCGAACTACAGCTGAAAGTCAGACTGGACCTGATGGAGGTGTTTGCATAGCTAAATAGCAAAGAAATGAAATTACGTCCACAGTATAGGATACTGGCTATCGTTCAGAACATTGAACATAGAGTCAGAATCTATTACTGTTTTCAATTACTGGCAATCTTGCATAATTAAGCGATCTGTTTGAAAGTTAAATAACAAACTTCTTTTCAATGTTTTCCTCATCTAAAAAGTTTTAATCACAAACAAAATGCAAAAGGGGGTGCCTTGTTTAACACTGTGCTCTGTAAAGCTAATGTTTCTTTAGGTAAAGAGTCAAGCACATTATTGTTATTACATTATGTTTTGCTGGCTCAGTATTTAATAGTGGTCTTTCATGGGGATGATGGGGGTCTTGTGATGCCTATTGGCCGCTACTACAAGTTACCCCCTTTACAGGGAAGCCCTGATGACGAAGGGGCAGCGCATCGAAAGCTTGTGATTTTAAATAAACCTGTTGGACTATAACATGGTGTCGTGTGATTTCTGACCTTGTCCACCCCAGTCCAACCCTGGCACTTCCATATCATGATCATATTGCTCGACTACATGAGCAGGGAGCCAGTGGCAGCCACCAGATACTGCATCTACTGAAGGCTCAGGTTCAGGGTCAGCCCAGAAACCCAGGTCCGGGTGAGTGATGATGAGAGGAGGGTTTGTACGGCGCGACGGGAGAATGGGAATGGTTTTGTGCAGCCAGGGAATAATGTAGAGAGTCTACAAAGTCAGGCGCTTCATGTGAAATTCACAAGCCAGCCTTAACATTTTTCATATTGATGAATCTCAGGGGACACCTTTCGACAAGGAAGGCATCTGTGCAGTTCACACTGTACAACAACAACTTGCAGTTAGATAGTGCCTTTAAAATAGTGAGGAATCCCAAGTTGTTTTACAGGTGCATTATCAACCAATTTCCCATTGAAACATAAAAGACAGGAGCAGGCCTTTGGTCCTCTGAGCCTGCTTCACCGCAACATCATCTCAAAGGCAAAGAGGTTGTGGAGAGAGAGGGTTTTTGAGGGGGCAAGTTTTTTCTTAATTCAATCATAGGATGAGGGTGTCACTAGGCCAGCATTTATTCCCCATCCCTAACTATCTGCAATTAAGATAGTTTTCCTGCAATTAATTTTCCTCCAGCTCCACACTGTATTATCTTGGTCCCCAATTAACCACTGATTTCTATCTAACTCAGGTGACACACCATTGATGTTCATGGATATGATAGCTACTTTATTGCAATACAAAATCTGCCACGTCCTCATCAACTGCAGTAGCAGGAAAGTGCAGCTCTATAGGTCTGGAGTCACATGTAGGCCAGATCAGGTAAGGATGGCAGTTTCCTTCCCTAAAGGACATTAGTGAACCAGATAGGATTTTCCAACAATCGACAACAGATTCATGGTCATCATTAGACTCTTAATTCCAGATATTTATTGAATTCAAATTCCACCACCTGTTATGGTGGGATTCAAACCAGGTTCTCTGGATTAACAGTCCAGTGACAATACCACTACACCATCACTTCCCCAACAAGTGAGAGAAATTTTTCTGTTAGGGCCTAGGCAACTGAAGGCGTGGCTGTCAATGTAGCAATGGATAACACGAAAAAGTTAAGAAAGCAGAAAGTGATGATAAAATCCAAAGGGCTCTTGAACAAGCTAGTAATTTTCACCCCTGAGATATGGCCATAATCAGTTTTGCAGAAGGGGGATTTTTATATCAGACCTCAGGGAAGGTGATGGCCTAGTGGTTGCTGGACTGTTAATCCAGAGACCCAGATAATGTTCTGGGGACCTGGGTTCAAATCCTGCCGTGGGAGATGGTGGAATTTGAATTCAATAAATATCTGGAACTAGCAGTCTAATGATGACCATGAATCCATTGTTGCTTGTTGGAAAAACCCATCTGGTTCACTAATGTCCTTTAGGGAAGGAAACTGCCATCTTTACCTGGTCTGGCCTACATGTGACTCCAAACCCACAGCAATGTGGTTGACCCTTAACCGCCCTCTGGGTAATTAGTGATGGGCAATAAATGCTGCCTGGTCAGTGGTGCCCTCATCCTGTGAATGAATAAAGAAAACAAAACAAAAAAAAGAAATCAAGCTTAAATCAGCGTAGAGCCTTTTAACCAAAGTCCTAGCACAGAGATAAGGGAGATCATTACCAGCACTCTGAACACAGCAATAGTTAACAAAGTAATCATTATTTACACTTAGATGTCCTATTAAGTTTCAAGGATCATTCAGTCCTCTCCCTAGGCTAAACATTAAACGCATATTGATAACACAAAGAGGTGAGACCACACAACTGTATGATGTGAAAAGAAAGCTGCCAGTTCTTATGAACTTTAAACTTTTGTTTAATGTCAAAGAAAATATGCTTTGAAGTTTGTGGGAAATTGCTTCTCTAAAGCCTCATTTAATTAGAAGTGCTTTCAGAAAGGAAGCGGGGATACAAAGCAAAACAACACAACATACCCGGGACAGCAGCAAGATGAGAGCATGACACAGCATTAGACTATGCAAGTCAGAACCCTCCCACATCGGCAGGAAGCTTCTTGTAACTTTTAGCCAAGGAGTGCTGAGTTAGGTATTCCAGTGGGCGAAGGACAGGAGTATTCAGAACATGCATCTCAGCAAACGACGCAATTTACTAATAGGAGGATGAAAATTGTTATCTTGCTTTTTTTTTGGGTACAGCAATGCTCCCAGCAGGGATCGAACCTGAGTGCAAAATTGATGAATCTACTCACAAATCAGAAGTATCTGCTTTGACCTGAGGTTATAATTGAGGCACCACCGTCACCAATGACAAAATAATAGGTAACAACCCAATAGTTAAATAAGCTTATAAGGAAAATAGATAAATCTGCCTCTTGACATTTATAGAAGGATAGTTTGGAGAGATAGATTGTTTTATATAGTTGTCAGCAAGCTGTTTTTCAACTGGTTATGTATCATAACCAATGGTGGTAGACACAAACATCCTTAGTGGAATCCCCTGATCTGTACTGGCCTGTTATGTCATATCTAAATGAATTTGCAATGTTGTGCCTCCTGATTTGAACAGTACTGGAGTTTAAAAAGAGGCAACTTGGTTAAAACTTATACAGACCCTGAGGAGTCTTAACAAGGTGAATGTTTCTTCTTGTGGGAGAATCTAGGATTCAGGGTCACTGCTTAAATATTGGAGGCTGCCTGCTTAACATAGAGAGGAGGAGAAAAGTTGTCTCACAGAGGTTCAGGAGTATTTGGAATGCTCTTTCTCAAAAGGCAGTGTAAACAGGAATCTTTGATTTTCTTCATTTGTTGAAGGCAGAGGTAGATAGATTCTTGATGAGAAAGGATGTGATAGGTTATCACAGAGGCAGCAATGTGGAATAATCAGATCAACTATGATCTTGGTGAATGGTATAGCAAGCTCAAAGGGCTGCATGGCTAACCACAGCTCCTAATTCATATATTCCTACTTATGTCCATGGTACGGGAGAGATTGTGAATGCTGAATACAATTGTACATGGAGATGTCGCTATGTAGGACCAGTTATTGATACAAAGTTCTGAAACATTGAGAAAGGTAATGACAGAGCTGAATATTGACTCATTAGAAGTATCCATTGGGATTTTAACTGGAACTTCTTAATTGGAGAAATATTGTGGAAAAATAAACATTACAAAACCATGTATTTTAAAGATGAATCCAGCATATAAATGTATGCATCAATTCCACACCATGTTGCCAATTTACACTGTTATTTATACATACTCTGAAATGACATATTAAAATTTAATCTGTCAAACCAACATTGTAAAGAAAGCAACTGGCTGACAAAGGAAAGTGCCTCAGTTCTTCAACTATCAAATGTGCAGGTAAAGAAACTGCTGTTCAGGCATAAAACAATTGCTTTCCCCCTTTAAAATTACATTCTCAATCTCACTTCCCAATTTAGAGGAACAGTCAGTTGATCTTTAGTTCACTTTTAGTAACTGCCAACAAGAAGTTGCTCCAAAAGTCTTCGATCCCCTCCTTTTCTGGGTCACTGCTCAGTACCTGCTCCCAACTGTACGACTGAGAGAGTTAACTTTTGCTTAAGGAACTGTGCTTGTGAGACCAGTTATACATGAGAAGAGACAGCTCCTACCTGGAATAGTCACAATAGACTTCAAGCGTCTGAGTATCAAAGAGCAGACCACACCAAGGGAAGAGAGAATGTTCCGGCAATGACGTGGTTTTGCTGCAGCCTGGAAGGTTCTCATCAAGAACAAAGTTGACCACTGTTTTATGGGGGTTTATGAAACAGCCGTACTCTGGGATCCCTGCAGCCAATATTCTGGACCATTAAGAAACAGAAATAAATACTTGTTCAGTGTGAGCTCTCCGAAGCACTAGCTCACAGAAACAGACAACAATACTGTACATTCTCTATTAGCCTCAGTTCGTGGCACTCTTGAGCCTGATGTGTAAAGTTTCAGGTTCAAATCTTACTCCAGGAGATCAAGGCTGACACTATTGCTGTACTGTCAGAGGTGTTGTCTGTAGGATCAGGTCCTGTCTGCCCTGTCGGGTGGATGTAGGAGATCCCATGCCGCTATTTCTAAGAAGAGCAGCAGATCATCCTCTGGCCAATATTCATTGCTCAACGCAACACTAAAGTCAGATTAAAAGGCCACACACGTTGTTGTTTGTGGGAGCTTGCTGTGCGTGCAAACTAGCCCCAACTTTCTTAAATCAAAACATTTCAAAAGTACTTCATTGGCTGTAAAATGCCGCAAGACGTTAAGTGATCGTGAAAGTCATTATGCAATAGAAGCATTTTTTTCCCTACTTTACATCTGTGAAACCCACAAAATGGGATGAAATTCTCTGGTGCAGTGGAACACTAATGTGTCAATGTAAACTGCTATTCATAATCCATTCCCTGAAGGAAAGCTTAAACCCTCTCACCAACAAAAGCTCATATTTATAGTGCTTCTTTGAAGTGACTAAAAGGATTTCTTCCTGTAATTGTATAGAGCCTTGGTGAGACCACACCTGAAATATTGACTGCAACTTTGGTCTCCTTATCTGAGGAAAGATGTCCTTGCTTTGAGGAAATGCATCAAAGACTGATTCCTGGGATGGCAGAGCTGATGTACATGGAGAAGTTAAATTGATTAGAATTATATATGGAGTTCAGTAGAATAAGGGGAATTTCACAAAAACTTATAAAATTCTAACAGGGCCACACAGGGTAGACATAGGAAGAATGTTCCCAATGGCAAGCAAGTCCAGAACCAGGGCATCACAGTCTAAGGATATGGGGTAAACCATTTAGGATTGAGACAAGGAGAAACTTCTTCAACAAGAGAGTGGTGAGCCTGTGGAATTCTCTGTCACAGAAAGCAATCAAGGTCAAAACATTACGTGATTTCAAGAAGGAGCTGCACACAGTTCTTGGAGCTAAAAGGATCAAAGGATATCAGGGAAACGTCAGAACATGCTAATGAGTTGGATCAGCCATGTTCATAATGAATGGAGCAGCAGGCTTGAAGGGCTGAATGGCCTGCTCCTGCTCCTATTTTAACATTTCTATGTTTAAACACTCCGAGAGGGATAATTCGACACAACCACGTAGGGACATATACAAGGACCACTTAGCAAGCATTTGGTCAGGGAGGTAGGTTTTACAGGGTGACTTAAAAGGAACAGAGGAGGAGACAGATAGAGAGCAAACTTTCCAGACCTTGGTAACTGAAGGTATGACTGCTATTGGTGGAGGAACAGATATCAGGGAAGATTAAGAGGTTGGAAAGACATGAAGATCCCGGGGTGCTATCAGATTGCAGGAAGTCACAAAAACAGGAGAGGCCATGGAAGGCTTTGAAAACAAGGGTGAAACTTTTAAAAACAATATTGAATGAAGGGTTCTGTCGAAGACACTGTGATGAAATGGTGGATGTGATGTTCCACCACTGGCTTTGTGCTGCAGAGAATGCTGAACAGGGAAGCGGCATTTCAGTTCCCATCAAAGGGACGTCTTGTTCTATCTGACATACCTTAGGAAGCTTTTGGCGTGCGCTAAGTGAGGAGTGACCAGCAAGAAGTCATCAACCAACCGCAACATCAACCTGGAGGAAAGAAACATTCCCACCAATCACTGGAAGAAAAGTCATAAGCTTAACCGAAAACAAAACAGCTTTTCATAGCAAGTGATTAGCAACATGTGAAACATTTTAAACTTGGCACCTTTTTAATTACTGATGTCACTTACCCATCCTCCTGAATTCCACTGAGGAGTTTCTTGTCCATATCACCATAACACAAGCTGCACAGCAAAGTGGAGAGAAGAGAGCCCTGAGGGATCCCACAACACTGAGCATAGTATCTGCAAACAGAGACACCAGATTGCATTCTTTTCTTGTAAATGCATTACAAATAGGTTTCTCTTAACAAAAATCTCTGCATAATGATCAGAATTTTTTTTTTTTTAAATTCATTCACGAGGGTGTCACTGGCCAGGCAGCATTTATTGCCTATCCCTAATTGCCCAGAGGACAGTTAAGAGTCAACCACATTGCTGTGGGTCTGGAGTCACATATAGGCCAGACCAGGTAAGGATGGCAGTTTCCTTTCCTAAGGGACATTAGTGAACCAGATGTGTTTTTCCAACAATCAACAATGGATTCACGGTCATCATTAGATTCTTAATTCCAGATATTTATTGAATTCAAATCCCACCATCTGTTATGGCAGGATTCAAACCTGGGTCCCCAGAACATTGGCTGGGTCTCTGGATTAACAGTCGAGCGATAATACCACTAGACCATCACGTCCCCCAGAACTTGAGGGAGCGTCACCGGACCCGAAACGTTAACTCTGACTTTTTCTTCCCAGATGCTGCCAGACCTGATGAGCTTTTCCAGCAAATTCTGTTTTTGTGCCTGATTTACAGCATCTGCAGTTCTTTCAGTTTTTATTTTGATCTTGTTACTGTTGATCTTGCTTCGCGCACCTCCTGTGCAGTATAACCTATATGCCTCACTCTGTCTAAGCACCCTGTGATCTGTGTGTCCTTGCTTGCTATGATCTGCCTGTACTGCTCACAAACAAAGATGTTCACTGTACTTTGGTACATGTGACCCAAATAAATAAATCAAATCAAAATTTGATTTGTCCTAATAGGATCCAATAATCGACGCATATAATACTGATCTGGGAGGGTGGGGGTCAGTTAGCTCAGTTGGCTGGTCAGCCAGTTTGCGATGCAAAGTGATGCCACACCATGGGCTCATATTTCCGCACCAGCTGCAGTTACCATGAAGGACTGTCCTTCTCAATCTCTCAGGTTACCCAGTGTGGTGACCCATAGGTTAAATCACCACTACTTGTGGCAGCAGACCTGTGGTCTGGTAAAACTATGGTGACTTTACCTTACCTTCATATTGGCTTTCAGTAGTGACCTGCGTGGCACATTGTCTAACCATTCATGCGAACCGAAATTCTCTTGTTCGAGTCAAAACATGGATTGTCATTTGTATTTGAACTCACCTCATTCATAGATGTTGCCAGGATTAGTGTCTTCTGCCCTATATTTGTGCAAACTCTGGTAACATTTCACATTGACTGGGAGCTAACTACAAGTGGCATTTCCAGTGCAAACAGCTCATTCCCATCCTTAATGGTGCATTGGTCCACAGTCATGGTGCGGTCATTACATGTATACAGTATACGTAAGGATTTCTCAGTGTGGATATGAGGTGAAAGCACGCATATAATTCTCATGGCTGGAGTTCCACAAAATGCTCTGAGGCTGCAATGTATTAGTCTCAAAGCACTTTGATAACTAATTAAACTGGAGAATGGGGACTTTTCAGTGCGATCTCAGGTATGGCGTTTACAAGTTACACATTTGAGGCAAATAATGCAGCAGGACACAGACCCCACCTGCTGGTGACTGTAAAATATACTTCAGTGAAAATGCATCCTTCTATAGACTTGTATTTCTCGCATGGTTGTGGAGGTGGCTTATCAGTTCTCAATGAAAGATTGCAAGAAAATGCTGCTTACTTATTCCCAATTCTGATGGTACTGTTCTCAATCATTTGCTTGAAGTAACTGAACACCTGCCCAGAGCTTTCATTCAATATCAGACCCTGAAAATAACACAAGAACACATCTGATAAAGGATTATAAACCTCACCAATGCATCAAGATTCTCATTTCAGTCCATCTTTCAGTGATCTCAACAAGGAGGATTAGGTATGGATTAGATTGACCAAAGTAGATGGATGGATAGAAATTTAGAGTCACTCAGTAATTATATTTTGGGAGGTCTTGTGATGTAGTAGCAGTGCTCCCATGACTGAGTCAGGAATTCCCAACTCAAGTCTCACTCCAGGACGGGCTGGCAATGGAAAGTGTGTTTCTAACATGGTCAAACGGATAAATGATCAGGCTGTAAATTCTTCTCATACACCTACGGTAGATATTAAGAGTGGTGGAGTCATACTCTATATGGAGCAATACTCCTCACTCTTCAGAATAGTGCCTTGCTCCAGAAAAACCCAGCAATAGAAACAGAAAAGCAAATGCTTTGTTTGACTCGTATGTCACTTGGTGTGAGAACAGCGAAAGAGAAAACAGTTATACGTACAGCACAGTCTCATAGGAAAGAACTGATTTGATATGCCAATGAACTCTTCTGAGCTCAATCAAATAACGTCAATGTTTCCAAAACTGAAACAGCAAAGAAAGAAACATAATATTCATCTCAGACAATCTCTTTCTCCTGAGGCAAAAGAAAGACGACAAGGAGTGCACAATACCATTTGGATAAGTCAATACAGTGTGGAGCTGCAGGAACATGGCAGGTCAGGCAGCATTAGAGGAGCAGGAAAGTCGACGTTTCGGATTTACACCCTTCATCAGGACTATCCATTTGGAGAAGTACATGAGTAAGAAATGTCTGCAGGAAAATGGGCCAAGCGCAGGCAGGTGGGACTAATTTCGTTTGGGATTATGGTTGGGTTGGACCGAAGGGTCTGTTTCCATGCTGTATGACTCTATCATCATTGACATCTCACCTGTTCAACTAGGACAGTGTCTTGCAGAGAGGCTTCCTGCTGCAGGTGGGACACAAATTCCTTCATGTTTGGTAACAGATCCTTCATTGTGGAAACCTGAACACAATAACGTGTGACGGTGAGAAAAGGAGCTGAGTAATCCTTAAAAGGTGCGTAAAAGCTGTGTTAGTGAGACAGGTAGGTAACGGAATAAAACACTAACTCAGGGTAACAGCACAGTTACGAATCAGGAAGACATCAGGCAGAACAGTGAATTAATATTCAATTCGACAGATCAGACATTTCAAATGGGTGAAAATTCTGTGATTAGTGAACTCATCTGTAAAAATATGATAACATGAGCAGATGGGAATTTGCTTCAGAAAACAGGACAAAACCAATAATAAAAGATACAGGGGCACAGATACACAAAAAGATCAGAAGTTAGGCATTAGAGCTGAGGTAATGATCCAAATATATGCAAAAATGTAAATAAGAAAGACAAAAATTAAAAATGAGGTTATGAAAGAACTCTTCACATAATGAAATTCTTAGTCACAAACTATCATTGAGTAAGAGGGGAGATGATGGCCTAGTGGCATTATCGATAGTTTGTTAATCCAGGGAATGTTCTAGGGGCCTGTTTGAATCTCACCATGGCAGATGGTTGAATTTGAATCCAATTAAAATTTGGAATTAAGAGTCTAATGATGACCATTTGTTGATTGTCAGGAAATCCCATCTGGTTCACTCATAGCCATTAGGGAAGGAAACTGCCATCCTTGCCTGGTCTGACCTAAATGTGGCTCCAGACCCACTGCAATGTGATTGACTCTCAACTGCCCTCTGGGCAATTAGGGATGGGCAATAAATGCTGACTTAGCCAGTGACAGCTTCATCCCGTGAATGAATTAAAAATAAGAGTTCATATGAACTATTTTAAAAAGACAATTAGATGTCCACTTGCAAAAAGCATTATTAAATGGGTCAGAAATATTAAATAGAAGTTTGGGAGTAAATTAAAGAAAACTAAATGACTCATTGAGACAAGAACATATGCACCGACTTCACAGAATCACTGAATCTCTACAGTTTAGATGAAGCCATTTGGCCCATCGAAACTGCATCAACCCTCCGAACAGAATCCCACCCAGACCCCCGCCCCTATCCCCATAACCCCACACTACCGTGGCTAATCCAATTAACTTGTACATCTTTTGACTGTAGGGGGAAACCGGAGCACTCGGAAGAAACCCACGCAGACACGATGAGAATGTGCAAACTCCACACAGACAGTCACCTGAGGCTGAAATCGAACCCGGGACCCTCGTGCTGTGAGGCAGCAGTGCTAACCACCTTATGAGCTGTTATTGTCTGCATGATTCCATACTCACCTGTCCTGTAAATAGGCACACCCTCGCCCTCCCACCCCTCCACTCCGATCCAATCCAGTCTCATATGTCATTGGGTTAGCTGCTGTAACGTTTCCTGTGAATTCCACAAGCACTACGTAGAAAGCTGGCAAATAACGTGGGCACTTTTTGAAAAACAAAAGTGATCTTTTTAAGTTTCAACATTCATTTTAGCTTTGGATACCATGTAAACACAGAACATGAAACATATTCAAGGATAAGCAATTTAACAATAATCCCCATTATTCTGAAGCAGTCATTTCCAGTCGTCAGACCCTCAGCTAATGCCAACACACAGAGGTGAGCCTGTACCTGGTTTTTGAAAGATTTTTGAATTTGTCCACTGGAATCCACCCAAACCTTGGTGTAATGTCGGATGCAGTAACTCTCTTGTATGGAGGGATTCAGTATTCCCGAAACCACTTCCATTAATTTGGCGTGAGGAATGGTGTCATAGGCACCAGTAACGTCTGCCTGCAAAAAGAAATGTTTGATGTTTGACTCTCCAGTGCAATCCTCCATCTGGCCACCCAGCCTGACCAGCACGGCACTGAGGTTATGGGTTCAAGGTACATGTATAATCTGGGCTGATAAATTCAATGCAGCACTGACTTAATCCCGCATTGTCAGCTGTGTCTGTCTTTCAGGCAGATGCTCACCTACAATCATATCTGTTGGTTAGGTGGGCATTTATGTTCCTCTTGCATTAGTCAAAGGATAGCAGGGCATTTTCCCCAATCCCTGTCCAATATTCTTCCTTCACGTATCAGCAAAACACATTAAATGGACAATGATTTCATTTGTCGTCCATGCACAAAGCAACTGCCAGGTTTGACTCTAAAACAACAGGCCTACAAAAATAATTCATTGGCTTTGGCACGTGTTTCCAGCATGTACAGTGGCACATTAACAGAATTTCATCCTTTCTTCTCTTTACTGCTTTCCTATCGTGCATCTAAAAGTAATTTTATAAAAAATTTGACGTTATATTGAACTACCACAAGGCACGCTATTGAGATGTTTGCAGGCACAGAACCTCAAATCCCACACCCTCGGGACAAAGGTCATTCTGTAACTCAGAGTTTTCCAGGTTTCAGTCAGACAATGTGGGCTGTGGGCAGTTCAGGTCAAGCCAGGTCAGATGGGGTCAAGGGTCACTTGGAGCATAACGCAGAGCAGCAGGCAAAGCTGGTAATTTACAGCCACAGAACACCAATGCAGCACCTAACCAAAAGTTAGCTAGTTACACTTTTTTTTTTATTTTAAGTTTATACAATTAAAATTAATGCATGGAAGCTTATAACACCATTCAGTTTTCAGACACCACTGGTTTTCTGGTAGCTATATTGTATGGGAACATCACGAGGTTGTAAGTAGAAGAAAAGACAATGTAAATAACCAACAATGAGTTTAGGCCTCAAAAACTTCAGGAGGAAAAGCCGAAGGGGTAAGAAACTTGAAATATCTGAGGACCAGGGGGATGAAGAACTTCAAGCAGAGGTTTTGGTCCCGATACCGCAAGCACTCCGGAAATGAGTATTGTGAATGACGGGTTTAGAAAAAGCCAAAAGGGCAAAAGCGATGTCGATAAAATCAGAACGTAGCGAGGACGAAGCCAAGAACCACCGGCCACAACAAATTACATTTATACAGCTCCTTTAACGTCAGGAAACATCCTGAGACATTTCACAAGAGCGTCATTAAACAAAATATAATACTGAGCTACATAAGGAGATAACAGATTGGTTTGCAGTAGATTTTGCGAAGTGCCTTATAGGAGGAGAGAGAGATAGGGAGGCAGAGAGATGTAGGGAAGAGTATTCAGATCTTTGGGGCCTACATAACTGAAGGCCTGGCCACTAGTGATCAAACAACTGTCATTGGGAATTTACAAAACAGCAGGATTAGAGGAACTGGGATATTTTGGACAGTTGTGAGTTGGAGGAGATGACAGAAACAGAGAGTATCAAGGGTGCTTCAGCCAGAGCTCTGCTTAGATGTCCTGCACAGCAAGCCGAGTGTTCAGCAGGGGTTTCCCAGGTACTGCAGAGACTTGTGCTTTTCAGAGAATTCACAGCCGTTCAGACAAACTGAGGTTTCTATCAATGAGCAAATTGCGCTTCTTGCTACAGCTATGGGTGTGGGAGTCCTCCAAAGTCAGAGGAGCCGATGTCAAGAGATGAAGCAAGTGGGAACCTGGAATTTCGGGTAGAGGACAGGAATATCCATTGAGCCTGTTCCATCCCTCAGTGAGATCATGGTTTAATGTCATCCTCCCACTTTGGTTTTGGGACTCTTCACCCCTTTTGGAATGTGTTATGCAAGAATATTGAGTACAAATTATATAACATCATGGTCTGCCAACACTTGAAAGTTTAAAGTACATGCACCCTTTCTGACCTCAACATTTGTTAAGGAATTTTCATTTTTTAATGAGAAATTTCACATTTATAGACATTTTCAATGGTTTAAATATTAACTCATCTAAAATATTGTATACATGAACAAGCTGGTGTCTTGAGCTATGTATGTATATGATTCCATGTTTTTATAAGTCCTTCAGAAAGATATTAATCCTGTTGTTGTCATTTCTGTGCTGTGATGGATGTTAAGGATCTTGTGATACTCTTGATGAACTGCTGAGAATTCTCCTGTTGTTCTGGCCAGTCTTTCTGCCACAAAGGAAAACAGACTAACTGGTCATTAATCTCAATGTGGTTTCAAAATACCAGGTGTATTTTCCTGCACAGCAGTGGACTGCACTTGGAAACTAATTGATTGTGAGGAGCTCTTGAGCATTCTAGGAGAGTTTATAATTTGTTATACAAATGCAATAATTCTTAAAGGGGGAAGAGGGGGGCGAACAGAATAGAGTCAATAAATGTGGAGCTGGAAAAGCACAGCAGGTCAGACAGCATCCAAGGAGCAGGAAAGTCAACGCTTCTAGCTTCCAGCATCTGCAGTCCTTACTGCTCCAAGAGGAGAGAATGGAGACTGATGAGCTTAGGAAAGCATTCCTACTCCTTCTGGATGGATAGAAACATTTTTAAAATGATTTTTACAAAGTATTACCACTAATTGACAAATGCTACTTAGGTCATAAGGACGCCTAAAATTAGTTAAATTCATCATAAGTAAGAGAACAATCACCTTTTTTTTTAAGGTGTTCACCAGCAACACCAGAGAAATGGATGGATTTAATTTCAGGTTGGATATTTTTCAGGTGTCCTCAGAAACAGTGCTAAAACTGGTCAGATTTATAAATGAACGCAGGCTCTAACACTTGCTTTCTACTCCTGTCTCAGCTCATCTACTGTTGAAACTCTGAACGGTGCCTTTGTTACACCCAGGCATGACTATTCCAATGCACTTCTGGCCAGATTCCCACCTAATAATAAACTTGAGTTCACCGAAGACTCCCTCCCTGTAGGGCTGATTTGCAGCATCAAAGATTCATTCATCTATCGCCCGTACACTTGCTGTGCTTGGCTCCCACTCAGGCAGTGCCTCAATTTTTAAAAAATCTCAACCCTGTTTATAAATCGTTCCACGGTTTCCCCCCTCCCTCCCTTCCTCTGCTATCTCCTCCAGTCCTCCAATCCTCAGAGATATTTGCACTCCTCCAACTCTGGCCTCTTGCTCAATTCTGAATTTCATGGTTCCACTGTTGCTGGCCAAAACTTTGCCTATTCTCTTGAATTTCTTCCAAACTCTCTCACCCTCTCTCTTGTCCTTAAAACCTACCTCTTTGACAAAGCTTTTGGTCATCACCCTGATATTTCCTTACGTATCTCAGTGCCAAATCTGCTTTGATAATGCCTTGCAAAGCACCTTGAACATTCTGCTATGTTAAGGGCAACAGGAGGCTGTTGTTAAGGAAGATTCAGGTTGTTGCCTCTTCTAAAGAGATCTGTTTAATGGTAGTCCATGTGCTCAACTGTTTCTTGGATACTTTTCAAACCGCCTATCCCTGTAACCCTGCATTTACCATGGCTAATCCACCTAGCCTGCACATCCCTGGACAATTTAGCACAGCCAATCCACCTACCCTGCACATCTTTGGATTGTGGGAGGAAACCAGAGCATCCGGAGGAAACCCACACAGACACAGGGAGAATATGCAAACTCCACACAGACAGTCGTCCAAGGGTGGAATCAAACCCAGGTCCCTGGCACTGTGAGGCAGCAGTGCTAACCACTGAGCCACCATGTCAACAGGACTTAAATAACTGTGAGATCAAATGAATTGTGCAGTTAAAAGGCAGGTACAGATATTGAGATTTCCTCCAGTTCCCTCCTGTAACTGTCACAGGTCTGATTCAGATTCCGGTGTCTCTTCCAAGTACAAAACAAGAGACCAGATTTTCACCCAGGAAAAGATAAATGCCAAATCCGATTCTGCTCTAATGCACCAGAATAAGGTGCCCTTATTGACCACCCCCTCAGTGACTAACTGCAGTGCCTCTATTGATGCCCGTCTGAACTTGGCACAGGTCAGGAATTGAACCCAGGTCGTTTTTGTTGAGTGTGGTTCAATTGCAGAAGGAACAATGTCAATTTTGAGAGATGACACCAGCTCTTTGTTCAGTGAGCAAATTACCTGAAAGTCCAAGGGTTGTAACAACCAAGGGAAGCATCAAGATGTTCTTCTCATCAACAGAATGATGTTAACAAATAAAAATACTTCAGAAATTCACATGCTGTACATGCAGTACAGTGCAGTAAGTCAATCCCCACCAAGATGTCACCTCCCTGCTGGCAATTAGAACAAAATAACAAAATAACAAAATAAACGCCATTTAATCTGAATTGGGATCTTAAACTCACTTTCACAAAGTAATAAGGACGATTCCCTCTCAGTTTTCCAGCTTTCGAACTCTGCAACACAAACTCCCTCCACGCCTTGTATATAGCGTCAAGGCCGAAGACTGAAGAGCCCATTAGGGCTGGATTCTGTTGACATTCATAATTGAGCACACCAAACAGGACCTTCATCTGGGAGTCTGAGCGTTGGATCTGTGTCAAAGATTTAAATTTTGAAAAACTGTTGAATGCCTCAAAGGAGGAGTCATAACTCCACATCCTACAGAGTACCACTCCTTCATTGTCACTGGGTCACCTGGGACACACACCTGGGTCTACCTTCTCAAGGGCAACAGGGGATGCAATAAATGTTGGCCCAGCCAGCAATAGCTTGATGCCAGAGCTTAGTTGTGGACTGGAGGCAGGCGCAGGTTGAACTGTACATCCTGTAGGTTAGCTTCACTCCAGCAGGAAGCTTCATGGGGAAGAGCTGGAGTGTTACTGAGAGCATAAGTGTGAGGGCACAGGCTGCTCGGTTTGTACAAGGAGTGGGTCTGAGGTGGAACTGCTGGTGAGTATCACAGCCTGCCTGCTGTCAGGTAGCAGGGGCAGAACGTCAAGGAGAGCCTGCAAGTAGCCTCATTTGAGCAGAGCACTCCATAATCCTTCTCAGTTAACAAGAGTCGATGCTGCTCTCCATTTTTGGACTTGGTTTGCAGGGGGAGATCATGAAGACTGGGCCTCCGGAGAGACTGACATTGCGGACTCTGCTAGGAGCTCTTCAACCACTGGCTGGAGGCCCAATGAGGAGGATGTTGGCAATGCCCTTCCCTGGGCCAGGGATCAGGGACACAGTGTATGATGGCAGAGGGACAGCCAACAGTTCCAGTCAATCCAACCTGATCAAGGAGGCAATAACTGCCCTTTTACCCTCTTCCTTCCCACAGGATGGGGCCCAAACACTCCTTCCTGATAGAACAGGTGATTTATCTCTATTGCCCTATCGGTGTGACAGCCCAGATTATTCCAATAGGGACAAACACCAGAGAAAGCCTGGCTTAACCAGCCCCAGGCCTGACCCTACCGCTCCACACCACCCAATTCCCCAGCTCTGCTCCGATATCAGTGGGACCGGGACAGGAGAGTCAGTTGGGTTTGAGCCTGGATTCAGGGGAATTTATGCAGGGCGATGAGGCAGAGGGAGCTGCAAAGGAAATGCACAAAGAGATCATCAAAGGATTTGACAAAAAGACACTTAGCTGTCACTGAGCCGAAAGCAGGTCTCAAGACGGGTGGCTTCAAGCTCACGCCAGCCAATGGGGCGCATCCTGAAGTGCTTTACAGCCTAAAAGTGCTTCCGAAATGTGGTCACCATGTTAACGTGGGAAATGCATGAGCAGATTGGTGCATGGCAGAGTCTTTGATGTAGTCCATGACCCTTGACCCTGCTCCAGTGACTTTGCTCGAGGGATAAACAATGGCCAGCGCACTGGCAAGAACATCCCTCTCTACTTACAAATAAGATCTCCAACGCTGAGCAGAGAGGACAAGCAGGACCTCGGCTGAGTGCCAGCACCTCCAGCAGCGCAGCACCCCCTCAGTCCTGCACCAAAGTCCCAGCTTCGGTTCTGTCCTCTGGTCTAGGATTTGAACCCAAAACCATCTGACTCCAAGGGAATTAAAAGTGTCACGAAGCCAAGAGTGAACGTTGTCAGAAATCATTGTCAGGGCAGAGGTATTCTAGGTTTATCTGCAGCATGGTCCACACAAAATTATTACTAACCTTCCGGAAACTGCTCACTTTCCTGGAGAACGGTGGTGCGACCATGTTCCGCATCCTCACTATCGGTCGCAATCCATTTCTCTTGGGAATAAAGCGTAAGCTAGAAGGGGGTAGGAAGGCTTTCTGCTGCCATTTCTGTTCCAATTCTTTGCTCGAGATTGGTTGCAGCTGTACTTTAGCAAGATGATTCCTGTGTCAGTTTGCAAAACAAAACAAAAAAAAAACCTTTATCGGCTTTCATTTATAAAGTGACATTACTAAAACAGTATGCAGCACATAAATATAATAACTGATGAAAGGTCATAGGACTGAAATAATAACTCTGATTCTCTCTCTCCAATGCCATCTGACTTGCTGAATACTTCTCATGTTTTGTGTTTACTTTTTTATCTAACATATTCTTTCATGGGATGTGGGCATCAATGGTAAGGACGGCATCTGCTGCCCAACTCTAACTGAGCATGGACTGAGTGTCTTATTCAGCATAGCTGAGAGCCTGAAGTCACATGGAGGACAGACCGGGTAAGGATGGCAGATTTCCTTCCCTATAAGGGCATTTGTGCACCAGACAGCTTTTTGTGTCAATTGACAATAGGTACTCATTTTTACTGGGACATCTACGATTTGAATTTAAACTAATTCCGTGGTGGGATTTGAACCTAAAATTTTGGTTTGGACCTCTGGATTACATAATCTGTCATATTAACACCATGTCCTCTAGAACCCAAGGAATTTTATAAATCAGTTTTAAATTACTTTTAATAGCTAAATGTGCAACATAAAAGCACCCTGACTTAAGGAATAATGGTTAAACACAATTAAGCAAACTTTTCGTTTATAGTTTTTTTTCTGCAAGAAACATGTTATTTTGGAATAAAAACAGAAAATGCTGGAGAAATTCAGCAGGTATGGCAACATCTGTGGACAGACAAACAGATTAGACCCTTCAGTCCATCTTGCCCATGCCGACAGACATCCCAATCTGAGCTAGTCCCATTTGCCAGCATTTGGCCAATGTCCCTCAAACCCTTCCTATTCCTTTACTCATCCAGATGCCTTTAAAATGTTGTAACTGTACCAGCTTCCACCACCTCCTCTGGCAGCTCGTTCTGTACATGCACCAGGGCATGAACAAGTTTCCCCTCAGATCCCTTTTAAATCTGAGGAAGGGTCACTCAACCCAAAACAGATGCTGCCAGACCTGCTGAGCTTTTCCAGCAACTTCTGTTTTTGTTTCTGATTTACAGTATCTGCTGTTTTTCAGTTTCGCTTTTAAATTTTTCCCCTCTCACCTTAAACCTACTCCTCCTAGTTTTGGATTCGCCCACCCCAGGGAAAAGACATTGGCTATTCACCCAAACATACATTGAACTCGAATCCCTAGAGTGGAAACAGACCCTTCAACCCAACAAGTCCACACCGACCCTCACAGCATCCCACCCAGACCCATCCCCCTATAACCCACCTAATCTACACATTCCTGAACACTACGGGCAATTTAGCACGGCCAATCCACCTAGCCTACACATCTTTCGACAGTGGGAGGAAACCAGAGCACCCGGAGGAAACCAAGGCAGACACGGGGAGAATGTGCAAACTCCACACAGACAGTCGCCCAAGGGTGGAATCAAACCCGGGTCCCTGGTGCTGAGACGTAGCAGTGATAACCACTGAGCCGCTGTGCCCATCCCAAATCACACTGAATTCCTCCACACTCTTTATCGCTGAGCAATCTAATATCTTTGATCATTCTTTCAATACACAATATGCTAAGAAAAATTATTATTTCTTTCTACATTATCTTTCTACATGCTCTCCTGTAGCTCCAATTTCCCTTTCATTTCTCAACAAACAGATGATTCTCTTCCGTATCTTTAATCATTACTTTATTTCAAACCTCTTAAGTTTTAGTTTGTTAAACCTTCTTTGTCAATTAACTAAATGTTGTTTTATTTTACCTTAAAGGAATAACTTTAAACATAAATAATACATGGCCCATTAAGACGTCATTGAAGGTATAAAAGGTAAATAGAACTAATCATAGCCTTTAGTCAACAAAGTAATCTCCTGAAGGTGATGATTAGCTTGGGAAAAATAAAGTTTTGCAGATTTTCCTGTGAAACTCAGCTTCGTGATTTGTTCGTTCATAATAGGTTTTCTTTCTTAGTTCTTAGCGTCTTAATCAAGGAAGGATCTAAACATGTTTGAAGCAGTTCAGAGAAAGCTTACCAGAATAACACTGGGGAACAGGCAGGTTGTCATTTGAGGAAAGGCTGGAGAGACTAGGATGGTACCCATTGGAGACTAGAACAGGAAGGGACCACTTTATTGAAACACATAACGTCCAAAGGCATCTTGACAGGGTAGATGTGGAGAGGACGGTTTTTTCCCTCTTATGGGAGAATCAAGAACTAGGAGGCCACCTTGTAAAAACCAGGGATCACCAGTTCAAACAGAAATGTGACAGATTTTTCTGCACCTCAAAGAGTCATGAGTCTTTGGAATTCTCTTCCTGAAGAGGAGGTGGAAGCAGAGTCTTTGAACAATTTTAGAGTAGAAGTTGGCATATTCCTTATGAAAATAAAGCGAGCGAGGGTGAACAGTAATGAGGGGTAGCTGAGAATGTGGATTTGAGATTACAGTCAGATCAGTCACGATCTCGCTGAACAGCAGAGCAAGCTTGAGGGGCCAAATGGTCCATTCTTGCTCCTTATTAATGCTATCCCTCTATAATACCAGTTAAAACAAAACAAAGCTTCTACATATATTCTGTGTTAATGTGACTCATTAGAAAATCTCTCCTCTTGTCTTCTAATCTTCCAATCTTCCAACAGGAATCACAGCTTCTGCTCATCTACCACAGAAACACATGCACACAGTCACTCGTGTGCACAGTCACTTGCTCACGCACACGCTCACATGCAGTTACTCGCGCGCATGTACACAGTCACTCACTCACATGCGCGCACAGTCACTCGCGCGCATGCACACAGTCACTCACTAACGCACGTACGCGCACACAGTCACACATAGCCACACACACAGAAACACACAGACACAGTCTCACACACACAGGCACAGTCTCACACGCACGTGCACACACAGCCACACACTCAGTCATACACACACAGTCTCACACACAAGTCTCATCATCACAGGATCCCACATACAGAAAGGTTCTTAAACTGTGAGTGTGTTTTAGAACCAGACTGGTTCAGGTTACAGTGATACGACAGCTTAACCCTCACCATACTCCAATCCTCTGCACCTCATTCCAGACACGTTTTCTGTAGTAGAAAAGCATGTTTTTCATGAATGTTGTCTCCGTGATGTAGAAGAAAGACTTGAGCAGTTGTACCACGTAGGTGCCCATTAACCAAACGAGAAACTTAGCCAGGATTTCTTCACGCAACTGGTGCTCCGATGCAGGAACAAAGTGCGGGCCTGGGAGATGAAAGAACTCCTTTAGGTTTAAAAGAAAATTGCGATAAACAAGCACAACCATCAACAGGCATTAGATTTACATCTGTCAACAGTCACACATTGTCATGCTGTCACTCTAGACCATACAAATTTGGTTGAGTTTCAGATCTTCTTGAAAAAGAAACTAGGATTGATGGTTGGATGGGAAGTTGTAAAGATTGCTTCAAGTGCCTATTGGCACTAACCTACAAAGCAGCAGTTCCACAGAAACAGGAGTCTGTACGTACTCCAACCATGACACGGTGACACAGTGGTTAGCACTGCTGCCTCACAGCACCAGGAACCTGAGTTCGATTCCACCCTTGGATTTGGAGTTTGCACGTTCTCCCTGTGTCTGCGTGGGTTTCTGCTGGGTCCTCCGGTTTCCTCCCACAGCCCAAAGATGTGCACGTTAAGTGGATTGGCCATGCTAAATTGCCCATTGTGTCCAACGACGTGCATGTTAGGTGGGTTAGCCATGGGAAATGCAGGGATAGGGTAGGGGGCCGGGCCTGGGTGGGATGCTCTTTGGTGTATCAGTGTGGATTTGATGGGCCAAATGGCCTGTTTTCACACTGTAGGGATTCTATGGACAGTACATGGCACAAAAGTACCTCTCACTGAAATACAAAAGAAAAACTGATTGTAGACTAAACTTTATGAAAAGCCTTCAGAAACATTTTAGTTGTGAGAAATTAAACTGGTTAATTCTAGGTGGTATTATAATTAATAGTTTAATTATGGATTACCTTTGGTTAGCCGAAGCCATGTACAATCATTCACCCTCATCTTCCACATTAGCTCACTGCAAGAGAATTTGTCAAATCTCCCCAAGGAAATAAACTTCTTCACATTCTTCAGGAACCTACATTTATTGTGGTTGGAGCCCCACAGTTCGTCTGGTATGACTTTGAGCAGACATTCTCTCACAAATCGGTAGACCTGAAATGGACTGCTGTGCTGCTTGAGCAAACACAGCAAGTCTGTGTCCGAGCCAGGTGAATCTTCAATACGGTCATAGTCTATAGACATGGTGACCTTCCCATCTGCTTGATGGCTCACTGCTACAGCTTCAGGTAGATGACCTGTCGGAGACCACTGGCCAGGACGTTGCAAAGATCTCAAAGGGTCTGCTTGTTCCTTCAAGTTGCTTCCAACAGTAGAACTGTGTCCACGAAGAGCTGTTCTCATTGAAGTATGACCCTTTACATTCTTACTCAATAACTGATCCTGTTTTGGAGCTGGGTGAATGGCTTCACCAACAGGACCATTGTCTTTCAATTCTATTTCATGACTACTGCGATCCACCTTTGTGACAGGGAAAGAATTGGACCCAATATTTCTCACAATACTTGAAGCACCAAAGATTTTTCTTCCTTTCTTAACATTCACAAAGCAATTTCTCATCAACAGCTGCGGGTAAGGGCATTGCTTATGGTTCCTCAGCAGTCTAAAGAAAATATCTCTCATCTGCCAATAGCGCTTTGGAAATTTCTTCTTTCTCCAGTAACTATTAGGCTGCACTTGTGGTTTCTTCTTCTCAAATGTATCACTGTTTAAGAAGATGGATTTCACCAGCCTTTGACCACCTGTGCTCAAGCCCTGCAAGCAATTTAGTATAAAAGTGTTTGGCAAATGTTCCCTGCGGTTACTACAATACATTATATTTCCTCTTTCAATATAAGTTGTAGCCCATTTTCTTCTATTCCTCACTGTTTCAGCATTTGTGGAGGTTTGCGGTAATGGTCCCGCATATAAGGGGCTTGTTAACACAATACCTGTTCCTTCACATTGTCTGAGTGCATCAATGTTCTTTCCAGAGGCAGATTTAGTGTTTTGCGTACTGCTTATAATTCCAGCTGTGAATCTGCCACTTTGATTAGAGTCCCTGATTCTCACTTGGTCTACCTCCTTACCGTTCTGTTGTTCTCCAGTTTCTGCAACAGTTTGGTTATCACCGTTCCTCACGGATTCACCTTCTGCTGTTGAGATTTTGGCCTGTGGCCTTTTGTGTTCTGAATTTTCCCCGTGAGCCACAACGCCATCAACAGAAGAAATAATCACTTCATCATGCACAAAGTGTCCAGTCCTATTGCTTTCAATTCCTCCTCCTTCAACCAGTTCAGATGTATCGGCACCAGAACCTTGGCCTACCCCAGAGCTTTCCCCCACTGTGCTCACATGGGCACCGAATTTGAGATCTTTGGGTTCACATTTATCAATGTTACCACCTTCTCCTTTCCATTCACAGGCTCCGTTACTTGTTCGATCAGTTGGTCTGCCAGATTGCTCGGTTATTTCTGAGGAGTTATTTAACTTACTTTCCACATGCCCAGCTGAATGAATTGATGTACCTTCCAGTGACACTGATGGCTGCCTGTCCCTTAACCTCTTTGCAGGGGGCGCAACATCATCATCACTCCGACATCTTTTCAGTGACTTTACATCCACAGTGACCTTCGACAGCCACTTGGCAACAACAACTTCGAGTCTAGGCTTCTTGACGGATTTGCTTTCGGGAACACTAAGGGTGCTTTGACGCATCTGTCTGCTGGACACAGCAGCTCGTGCTCCATTGCTGGCTCCGGCTAATCTCTCCTTCCATTTCCTGTCCTTTGACAGGAGCCCTTTATAAAATTGGACTTTCTTTTGGATGCACTTTAGTGAAATATTGCACCAGCGTTTGGCTGGGCTCTGTCTCAGCCAGGTAGAAGGGAGTTTAGTGCCACTTATAGTGAGGCTATAGATGGGAACTCCACATAACTGAAAGCAGCAGCTTGGTGGAACCAGCATAAATAGGGAGCAGTGTTCCAACAGATACATCATGACGTCATCTCCAATTCGGCTGAGCAGTGTCCTCCACAGGATGCTGTTCTTGATAGTAACAGTGGTGGGATTTGGTCGGTAACTACAGATGTTGGGGGCAGATTGGATAGGTATGAAGCTTGATTCATTTACACATGCGTAGCCAAAGCTTAGCACATTCCTTTTTCCCTTGTCACAAATCCTCTGAATTACTCGCAAAACCACATCACTCTGTGCAGATAGCTACAAAGGAATCAGGGGAAAGAAAGAAATCAGTTATATTGAAATCAGGCAGGAGTTTTAACTATGACAAGCCACCAGTGTACAACCACCCCAAGTACTATGGAAATTCTTGATAATTTTACAGAAATTTAGAGCGTGCGAGAAGGATCAAGAATATTAATGCACAGTTCTCACCCTGATCAAATTTCATGCTGACCATCAACTTATTTGCCTACATTATAAATGCATTTTCCACAGTCAACAAGTCCGGGCTTGAGACTCAAACCAGTAGCTCCTGACACAGAGCAAGGGACCCTATCACTGCATCACTACAAATTAAAAACAAAACATGGATTTATAATTTCTAAGTGCCAAGTTTCCTAAATGACTATTTACAGAAGTGGGCATATGCCCTTTTTTTTAAAAAAAGTCATCTCAGACGGTTGAGAGCCTTTGGAATCCCCTTCCTCAAAAAGCAGTGATGCAAAATCTTTAATTAGTTTTAAGGCAGATGTAGGTAGACTATTGATTACCATGGGGATGAAAAAATATTAGGATATATGGGACCGGAGGTTAAAATCAGATCAGCCATCACCTTACTGAATGACACAGCAGGCTCAAGGGGCCTTGTTAACATGAATATAAAACACTACAGCACAGTACAGGCCCTTCGGCCCACGATGTTGTGCCAACCTATTATCCTTCTAAGATCAATCAACCCTGCATACCCTACATTTTACTATCCTCCATGTGCCTATCCAAGAGTCGTTTAAAAGTCTCTAATGTATCTAACTCCACTACCACTGCTGGCAGCGCATTCCACACGCCCACCACTCTCTGTGTGAAGAACCTACCTCTGACATCTCCCCTATACCTTCCTCCAATCACCTTAAAATTATGCCCGCTCATAATAGTCATTTCCGCCCTGGGAAAAAGTCTCTGACTATCCACTCTATCTATGCCGCTCATCCTTCTTCGCCCCAATGAAAAAAGCCCTAGCTCCCTCAACCTTTCCTCACAAGACCTGCCCTCCAGTCCTGGCAGTGTCCTGGTAAATCTCCTCTGCACCCTCTCTAAAGCTTCCACATCTTTCCTATAATGAAGTGACCAGAACTGAACACAATATTCCCAGTGTGGAGTTTTATAGAGCTGCAGCGTAACCTCAAGGCTCTTAAACTCAATTCCCCCTGTTCCTTGCTCATATGTATCTGTGGCGTCTTGAATCTATATTGAATGTCGTCTCTGAGCTGCAATAATTCTCACTGTGGTGAATTGAAATGAGATCGCCAGCTAATTCTGGCATAACCTCACCACCTGTTAAAAGCAGGACACACCTTCTTTAAATGCATTCAC